AAGGCATCACAGCTTAAAGCAGGGATCCCCAAACTCCTTCCCACTTTATTAGATGTAGCTTTCAAAGTCTTTAATTATCAAGATGAAAGCCAAAACAAAGACAAAAGGACACCCACCAGACTCAACACAGGGCCCCCCTGAAGGTGCCCAGCCTTTGCCTATCCTGAAAAAGACTAGAGCTCCATCTAGAGGCTTGCTTTCCCAGTTTAAATAAGACAAGGGACTCAGGATGAAAGCTCCTCCCTGGCTGCTCTTGTGGCCACGCAGGACAGTGAAGTCAGGAGTGCCTAAAGACACCAGTCTACAAACCTCCACCAGGATCAGGTCCGAACTGAAAAATGAAGAGCCATTAGAGGCAGAGTGGGCCCTCGCTGCTTGTGTGTGAACCACCCGCTATTCAAGGATCTCCTTGTCAGTTCAAACCTGATGAAGACAAATGCCATTAACTCTGTTCCTGGACCATGAGGAACCCGATGAGGAAAGAAGTCCCTCGTGTTCTGATGACCGATGGAGTCCAGGGGTTAGGTAGGCTCACATATTGGCTGTCTTTATGCATGAGCCGTGAGTGGCCCTGAATGTGTCGGGGACCAAGATTATGCCCCTTATCAACAGGAAGCAACTTTTCCTGGCCAGACCGCCCTTTCTGGGTTGTCCTGCTTTGACCATCGGTCTTTGAGCCTCCTGATGACATAACATTCCCCTCCTAAGCTATATGATAGGCAGACACAGTCTCACTCATTCCTTTCTGGTCTCTCAACTTCCCAGTTCCCCTCCTGGGTAGGGCCATAATATCCACTCTCCAAGCCCATCTAAGACTTTTATTTTTATTTTATTTTATTTTTTTGCTATTCCAGAGGCCTTTAAGGCATTCCCAACATACAGCCCCTGGTCCTGCAAAGGCCTGAGACTACTGATGCCCTGCCCCCCCCCCCAAAAAAGAACCTCCCTATGATCTCTATTAGCTACACCAGCGTTGGACAACAAGTTCCCCCCACAGTGTGGAACATCTCATTCCCAAATGCTCACTCCCAGTCACTCCTGTCACAATAACCCTTAAGGACTCTAGCCGGGCGGTGGTGGCGCACGCCTTTAATCCCAGCACTCGGGAGGCAGAGGCAGGTGGATCTCTGTGAGTTTGAGGCCAGCCTGGTCTACAAGAGCTAATTCCAGGACAGGAACCAAAAAGCTACAGAGAAACCCTGTCTCGAAAAATCAAAAACAAACAAACAAAACCAATAACTCTTAAGGACTCTAATAAAGAAGCCCAACTATACCAGGCTATCTTGGGGGGGGCACCAACCAGCTCCCAAATCATGATACAGAGACTTATTATTAGTTTTGAATGCTCAACCTAGCTTAGGCGTGTTTCTGGTTAGCTCTTTTAACTTAACCTATTTCTCTTTGTCTACCTTTTGCCTCGGGGCCTTCTACCTCTCTTAACTTCTGTATATCTTACTGTTGCTGCTTCTCTATGTCTGCCCAGCTTCTTGCTCCAGAGTGTGTCCCTCATTCTTTCCTTCTTTTCTCTCATTCTTCTTCCTTCGCTGAGTCTAGATTTCTCCTCCTATTTTTTTTCTCTCTTTCTGCCAACTCTGCCTATCCGTTCTCTTCCTAGCTATTGGCCAGTCAACTTTTTATTAGACCAATCAGGGACCTTAGGCAGGCAAGGTGAAACAAATGCAGCACATCTTTTACATAATTAAACAAATGCAGCATAAACAAAAGTAACACACCTTTACTCAGTTAAAGTGATATTCTGCAGCATAAACAACTGTGACACATCTTTGCCCAATTAAAATAATATTCCATACACTCAGCTTCCATAAACCTTGAACTGAGGCTTACATGTTCTCTCTTATTAAGTCCCATTGGGTCATTACACCTACGCCTGTACCAAGGGAAAACCCTATCCACTGAGTCATTACATCTATGTCAGAATGGCCAGAGGACCTGAAAGTCATGAATCAGGATAGCTACCCTGTAGTCCCTGTAGTTCTGTGCCCTTTGGCAACAAATCTCCTCCAAAACTCCTAGTTCACCATCTTAGATCTTTAAGGATTCTTCCTCCTTTTCCATAGCTGCCTACCCAGACTTCCCAGCTCCTGTTTGCCTTCAAAAGGCAGGAGGCTTCCATCCAAATGACTCAATATCCCATCTGGGTCGTCTTACCAGAAGCTATATGACTTCCAATCAAGGTAGCCATTATACATTTCAAGGCCCATCAAAAAGACTACCCCGTATTTCTCAGAGGAACAACTGTGGAGGACAATAGGCTAAACGAGCCTTTGCTTCTACTCCTGGCTGCCTTAGTTCCTCTTTCCACTCTCCCACATCCACAGCCCATCTCTCAGGAAACGTAACAGACTTTAGATTGGTGCTTTGGGCTGAAGAGATGGCTCGGTGATTAAGAACATTGACTTTTTCCAGAGGACCCAGGTTTGGTTCCCAGTACCCATTTGGTGGCTCACAAGCATCTGTAACTCCAGTTCCAGGGGATCTGATGCCATCGTCCAGCTGTAAGCACTGCATGCATGTGGTACACAGACACACATGCAAACACTCATTCATGTAATAAAAACTATTTGTGCTTATATATCTCAGGGCTTCACAGCCTCTCCAGAGAGGAGGATGGTTACAAGGCCCAACGATCTTTGTCTCATCATAATAGAAGTTCCTAAGTAATTTACATCCAACCACATTTCTGGGGCCAAAGTCCTACAAACTCTAATTTCTAATTTCTTCAGGGCTTTGATGAGGAAAAGATATTAAACTTTGTCAAAAGATCTTTCCTTTGTCTATTGATATGATCGCTTGATTTGTGCCCTCAATACTATTTAAGTGTTCTATTACATTTATTGATTAGTGTTATGCTGGACCAACTTTGCATCCCTGGGTTGAAACTAAGCTAATCATGGTACATGATCCTCTCCACATGTTCTTAAATTTAGCTTGCAAATATTTTGTTAAAAACAAGCAATCTCTAGTCTTCAGGGAATTAATCTGTAGTTTGTTTTGTTGTTGTTGTTTGGTTGGGTTTTTGTCCTTACCTGGTTGTGGTGTTGGGATAACATTGGCTTTGTAGAATGAGTTTGGTACTGTTCCTTTCCTGGTCATTTTATGGAATACTTCAAGGGGTGTTGGTGTCAGTTCCTCTTATTACTGCTTAAAATGATAGTGAGGTGCTTGTCTCTCTATCCAACTGTGAGGCCAGAACAAATGGTCAGTGAGCGAAAACCAACTAACTTCCTCAGCTCTTACAAAGAGAGCTCCCACCCCCTCAACTGAGTGACCCCTCTCTGGGAACTAACCAGCTATCTCTCTGCAGTGTTTCAACAAATTCCACCATTTTATTCCCCTGGCAAATTCTTTCTTCTGACATATGTCACCATTTCACATAGCAGGGGAAATGGTCAGACCACACAGCAGAGCCTTCGGGGATAACAGCAGTGCCCTTATGCAAGAGCCCATTGTGAGCATGCTGTGCCTGAAACAGTGGAACACATCTGTGTCTTCCCACCATGTCAGGATTTATCGGGTAACAATAAATTCACGAGGTTTATCAGTTTCAGTGACATCCATTTTTTATGTAATCTCTCTTATCTTGGTAACACAGTGAGACAAAAATACAGATTGTTTTATTCCAGTTTTTCAAAAGTTGTATTTATTTTGACTTTATGTATATGAATGTTTGCCTACAAGTGTGCATGCATACTGCATGTGTGCCTGGTGCCTGCAGAGGCTAGAAGAGGATATCAGATCTCCTGAAACTAGAGTTACAGATGGTTGTGGGCCACCATGTAGGTGCCGGGAACTGAACCCTGATCCTCAGCAAGTGCTCTGAACCAGTAAGCCATCTTCCCAGGTTTTTTTTTTTTTCATTTGAACAGTAATTACTGCTACTAAGTTATAGCACACTAAGGTTTGTTCTGAAATAATCATAAACTCACAAAAAACAGCAAGATGTGAAGAGGTGAGGGTGGGGTTGTGCCAGCATCTGGAGAAGAGGTACAGACAGAGTAGGAGGCAGGGCAGAGAGTAGGGAACCCAGCAGGATGTCTCCCAGGAGAAAAAGGACACCTTTCGGTCTGTGGTGTTTTTTTTTTCCGGTCCTCTGACATCCTTTATGAGATGCTTTTAACATCACCCCAGCCAGAAATGGTCCTATCTTCCTCTAGCCCTCCCCTCTTTATATAGTTCATAATACTCACCCAAGATAGGAAACCAAGAAGTATGTGAATAGATAAATCCTGTTTCTTGGAGTCATTTAACGTTTTAATCAAATTATTTGACCTTCAAACACAACCCCAATGAGGACAAAACTGCCGCGTCTTCTTACCATGTCAAACCAACCAGTAAATGAATTGGGGTTTTGAAACCCCTGACAAGCTTTTAAGAAGGCCATGAACTTACAAATAAGCGTCTCCGAAGGTTTTAATTGCTGTGATATGGAAAAGTCATTTGACCTCTTTTAAAAGTGGCATAATGAAACTGGCCACCTGCCCAGCTCGCTGAGGCTCTGCGCATTAATTAATAAAGGTGGAGGTGGGATGCTGGGAGCTTCCCTTGAGGAGAGAAGAGAGCTCTTTAGAGGCAAACTCTTGTGATGGCTGTAACCAAAGATGCCATTCTCTCTAGACTGCCTCTGGTGACCAATTTAACACACTGTATGGAATATGTTTTGAATTAATTGGCTTTTATAGCCTCTCAGTTGTCTGGGAATTGTAGATTAGCTGTGGGTTTTGCCTTTGTCAAGACTCCCTCTTCTTTCTTCTTTCTTTTTCTTTTCTCTTTCTTTTTTCTTTTCTCTTTCTTTTTTCTTTTTTTCCAAGACAGGGTCTCACTATGTAGAGCTCAGACTCATAGAGACCTATCTCTTCATCCTGTGCTGGGATTAAAAGGCTTGCACCACCATACATGGTCTAATAGGTTTATTTTAACTTTATGTGTGCATGACTGTGTGCATGTATTACCACTTGTGTGTGGATTCCCACAGAGGCCAGAAGAGGACATCGAATTCCTTGGAATTGGAGTTTATAGGTGCTTGTGAGCCACCCAGTTAGGTGCTGGGAACTGAACTTTGGTCCTCAGCAAGAACATGTGTTCTTAACCACAAAGTCGCATCTCCAGCCCCTTGTTTTCTTCTTTCAGTGAGAGACAATGACCAGATGCCCCAGTATCTCCTTAACCCTGGGCTCTCCACTTATGGGTAGGTGCTTGACAGTCCATCCTTAGGGGATTTTCAATCGGAAGCCAGAGTTCCTGGTGCTGCTGGGTAGAGTTTTGGTAACTGCATTTACTCCCAATGCCAGACACCATTCTCAGGTCTCCAACGTGTGCTTAGATGGGAACAGTACTGGACTCATTCAGTGTGGTTCCAGAAGATGAAACTGGGACAGCTGAGAGAGAAACACAGCTTCAGGTCCAATTGAAAGAAAACTTCTGCAGAAACTGCTACCCACTGGGATAAGTTCCACCTAGAGATGGTGAGCATCTCATCAGCAGAGCCCGTGTTTGTCAGAGTACTGGCTTGTACTCATCTGAATCTCCTCTAGTCAACTGTGACAGAAATGAGTGTGTAATAGCGGTGTGGTTGGAGCTTTTAAGGCAAACGCCAGGACTCTGACAGCTCCAGCAGGCTAGGCTCAGCCACCAACCCCTAATATTCCAGTTAAAGGCACTGGTAATGCAGAAAATCAGAAAGAGAGACAGAGAAACAGACAGAAATTTTGGAAGGAGACTGGCGGAAGCTTACAAGAGGTTTTTTGTATCAGCCCTGGTTTAGGTGTGAGATTGTTTTCTCTGCTCTGAGCCTTCAAGGAGTCTGCAGCTGTCCTCACTGATTAAAGAGACAGCTGGATCCAGGAGATGTTTCTGCTCCACCTCTGGCCCCGCCCCCATGGATAACTGCTCTCACCTGAGACTTTGGTTCTTTCTGGAACCCAAAGAGAATGCAGGTTTAGGTCAATAACTTGTCTCTGTGTCTTCAACCTGGAGGGGTTGAGGTAGGTTTGGTGACCAGTCAAATAGAGGTCTGAGCTAACGTAAAGCAGATAACCACAGAATGAAGACAGATGCCAGGCTTTCATTTACCTTGTGGACTCAGGTGAGGAGTCTGTGCCCTTTAGCAGAAGTGGTGTGATGGCTGTTCTCGGTTGGCAACTTGGCTATATCTGGAATTAACTAAAAGCCAAAAAAAAAAAAGTGGCTGGGAATATCTGTGCACAATTTTCTGCTAAATTAAACCATTTATAGTGAAAGACCCACTTTTAACCTAGATCATTTGAAGTGGGAAGACACACCTTTACTCTGGACCACATCTTCTGCGGGAGCCTATATAAAAGACACAAAAGATGGAAGTTCTCTCTCTCTCTCTGCCTGTTTGCTCTCACTCTCCCTAGTAGGTCAATTCTGTCACTGGCATTAGAGCCTAATTCCTTCCACTGGTAGCCAGCCATCATTGGACTAGCTGGACCATAGCCCTAAGCTATTCTAATAAAGCCCTTTAGATAGATAGATAGATAGATAGATAGATAGATAGATAGATAGATAGATAGAGATAGATAGATAGATAGATAGATAGATATTTGTTCTGTATGTTCTGTTTCTCTAGAGAACCCTAATACAAGCAGCTTCTAAGTTATTGACTTAATCATATTGCCCAGTCACTAGCTATCATAAGAAGAAGAAAAAGAAGATGACAACGACCATGAAGCTGTAACTGCTCTAGACAGCAGCAGGCTTGGACTTAGGTTTCACAATGTATAAAAATATCTGGGTGGTGATAGAACATGCCTTTAATCCCAGCACTCAGAAGGCAGAGATTGGCAGATTTCTGACTTTGAGGCCAGCCTTATCTACAGTTCTGGGGCAACCAGAAAGAAGAAGAAGAAGAAGAAGAAGAAGAAGAAGAAGAAGAGGAGGAGGAGGAGGAGGAGGAGGAGGAGGAGGAGGAAAGAAAGAAAGAAAGAAAGAAAGAAAGAAAGAAAGAAAGAAAGAAAGAAAGAAAGAAGAAAAGATAAAAGAAAGAGAAGATTTTCAGCACACAGATGCACAGACAGACCTGGAGTCTCAAGCCAATGCTCACACTATGAAAAAGTGAACTCTGCTAAAAGGAGGGCTCAGAGGCAAAAGCAAGAGGACGGTGTCAACCAAGACATGAAGAACAGACAGAATAAGTAAGCTGGAGCTCCAGCAGGTCAAAGGTGAGTGGGAAGGGAGTGATGTCACTCCAGAGGTGCCACTGTTGTGAAGCAGTGCTGCTGAAGGGTCCCTGGAGCATAAGGGAGTTCTTCTGAACCAGCTTCTTGCTCAGGCTCTCTCTGGGTCTGAAGGGCTGCTGACAGGAAGACCCAAAGAAGGTGCTGCATCTGTGTGCAGAGACACAGTGCTGTGCAGGTGTGTAAAACATGGAAGACTTCAGGGCAAGCAGGGCACTGGGTGACAGGAGGCAGATTTGCGTAGCTGGAGGAAGTGGGAGTGGCGTTCTGTCACCAACTCTGGGGCTCAGGACCTGTTGGATGGCTAAGTTAGATGACACAAAAGACCCGAGGAGTTGAGAAGCCAACGAGAATGGAAGTAGCCCAAAGTAGGGTGCCAGGAAGCTCAAATATCAGGCTAGAGAGTTTGGACTTTGGCCTTGGGTGCATGGACTAGACATTTGGAGCAGGAAAGCGACTGGGATTGCAGCTGGTGTATCCAGAAACCAGCTGGGCAGTGGAGTGCAGAGGGAGTGCCAGCCAAGAGACAAGGAACAGTCTAGAGGGCTCTAAGCCTTGGGATTGGGACGTAACCTTCAATTCCTTTTATGAAACGTGGTGTGAAATCTCCCAGAGTTCTCTCTGCTTGTCGGGACTGTCCTCACATTCTTAGAGGTAATGCTTCTTGCTTTAACAGTGTACAAAGACACTCTGGGTTGTAAGAGTAAACGAAAAATCAGGAGGTTATGTGGTATCTGGCCGCAGGATGAGATGGCATCCCTTGGAGACAGAACTCTCTCCCTTGGGGATTTGGGGATCTGCTGCTCTCGGCTTCTACCTTTTCTCTGCCTTAACAAGTTCCATCATCATTGCTGTCGGCAGAGTAGTCATGGTCATACCCCAAGGAAAGACTTTCACTGTGAACAGTTAAGTGATCACTACAGTCACAGAGGCCAACGTGACCGGAATCAACACTTCACCCCTGATGCAAAGAGACAAGTTAAATCTCTTTTTGAACACCTCTATTTGACCCACATCGAACTACCACACGCTAACTCTCAACACTGGGGATACGGCAGTGAACAATGCAACCAAGCCCTCAGCCTTGCAGTTCATATTGTAACAAGAGCAGACAACAGACAAGTCAGTCTGATATGTTCTGCACTTGATCGACAGTGGTAAGTGGTATCAGGAAGAAGGAAGCAGGAATAAGCAGGAGAGCTGGGTTATGCCACGTCCTAGTGAGGACTCATTCCACAATAGCCTTGGGGCACTCGCCTTAGGTGTGGCTTCTTGTCTGCCGAGGTGAGTACTTAAGAAGAGAGAGGGGGTCGTGCTTGCTTGCTCTTAGGTTAGGAAGACTGGGTCAGGGGCGTGGTATAAAGCAGCGTGTGGTTGGTTCCCAGCTCCCTTGGGCAAAACCAAAGGACTCTACAACTGGTTATGCCTTCTCTTGTATCCATGAGTCTGTTTCCCCATAGCATCGCTTAATATATATATATATCTTTGTGGTTCACATTATAGCCATATGTGCTAAGTATTCTGAGATGGTGTCTCTGGGCAGGGCAAATTGGAGCACAGACCCAGGCTGAGTGAAGGAGGAAGCCCTTGTGTTTCGGGACGAATGTTCCAGGCAGACCACTACTGTGCAAAGACCTAGAAAACAGATTGTGTTTATTGTTCAAGGAACGGCAAAGAGCAGAGTGAGGCTGATCCAGAACAAGGAGGACCTGGGGAGGACTATGGCTGTACACTGAGTGATACGGCCTCTGTGGCTGTCTAAGCAGAGGACTGGCGCTGGCTTGCACCCTAACTGGATCAGTCTGGCGACTGTGTTGAGACTACTTTAGAGGCTGCTTTCATTCAGGACAAAAATGATGGTGGCTCCAATTTATTGTGGGTTTTTTTTGTTTGTTTGTTTTTGTTTTTTGAGGTGGAGTCTCACTGTATTGCCCAGGTTGGATGCTTGGATGCTTCCAGGTTCCATGGATCTTTCTTCCACCTCTTCCAGACTTCTGGGACTAGTGGAAAGCATCTCCATACTAGCCTAGGATAATATGTCCTGTTAGTTTTAGGAGGTAGACCAGGAAGAGTCAGGTTTTAATCTCATTGGCTTTCAGTGAACAGACGGCCAAATCTGGGGCTTTCACTAAGTGTGATGCCCTCTGGTACGTAAGTTTATTACCATGTGTAAGTGTGTGTGTGTGTGTGTGTGTGTGTGTGTGTACAAGCATGTGCAGGTGCCATGGTGCGCATATGGAGGTCACCAGGGTCCTGGGGATTGAACTCGGGACATTAGGCTTGACATTCGGCACTTTACCCTCTGAGCCATCTGCTGTGTAACAGTTTCCTTCAGGATTGAAACATTCCATGTTGAAGGGAAGCCCCTTAAACAGAAAGATAAACAACTCAAAATGGCTTCAGGAAGTCCCTGAAACTGACCAGATTCGCTAGGCCCTCCTTTACTGAGTAAGCAATAAAAGGTGAGAGTTCATCTCAGACTAACAGAGCTGCACATGGACCATCAAATAAACCAAGCTGCAGAGAAAGCTCTCAGAGGGCCAAGCTCAAAAGAAGATTCCACCAGCACACCACCTGAGCTGCCTAGAAGAGACGTAATACCAACCGAAAGTGGAGAGGATGCCCTCCAACCTGCTGAGCTGCCTGCAGGCTGTGCAGTGTGCTCCAGGTTCCCATCTTTGTGAGCTGTCACCCACGCTGGGGTGGGCTTTGGTGATGCTGCTGCCCTTGAGTCGTTTCTACTCCTGTAAGTAACCCCTCTGTCGGGGTCCGGTGCTAGCCCGGACCATAAATTATTTCCCTGAACCAGATCCGAACATAAACTATCTCCCTGGACTGGAGTGGAGGCGCAAGAATAAAGACACAACTCACATGGCTTTATCGGGAGGGAGATTCTCAGTGGTCCCTCCTGAAGTCCTGAGTCCACATCCTGAAGAATTCCTTCTCGTTTATTCTCCAAACAGCTTTTATACCAAAACATAAACTGAGTGGGAAATACACCAGCGTTCTGTCTCCTAGGTAACCAGGCGAATGGCTTTTCGTCATGTCCACATCTACCTATCTTCTCTGTATGCTGGCTGGCACGTAGGCTTGAATCAGCATCTCTATCAGGCATCCTCCAAATTACAAAGAAAGGAGCAAAAAGGACATCCTGACCCTTTGTTAAAAGGGCAGCAGCAGCCTGTCTAGAAGGCTACGTGACCATCTCAGGTGTGGCCTATGGCTTTAGAGCCTGGCTGCCATACCATATAGAAATATGGGCCTAGAGCCCTCGCCCATATTCCTGTAAGTACCCCCAGTGAAACTCATAGCTCACCAAGCTGGACTTTGGTGGCGTCTGTACGCTGGTCTCTCACGGGCGCCCTGTCTGGGGTGAGTAGATGCGTGTTACACCTCCTCAGGAAGTTTTATCACACAGCACTAGCTCACCGACTCTCTTCAAGTGTTCTGAGCAAGGGCAGCTCTTTTGTGATAGGGCTGCTTTGCTATTTTTTTGTTGTTGTTTGTATTTTTGTATTTTGGTGTTTTGAGACAGGATCATATTTCTCAGACCTGCCTCCACCTCCCAAATTCTGCGATTACAGGCATGCATCACCACGCTGGCTTTGGGGCAGTGTGTTTGAAAGGACTATTTGAATTTCTTGCACTTCTAGAAGATACAGCTGAGAACTTTATGCTAGTATTATTCCCTGAGTATTACATTCACTGAACACTGGTGTCAAGGCCGAGACACAATAGCTGAGCTCGCCAAAGGCAAATGCTTTGTGCTGCTGCCCCCTAGAGGCCATTGTTCCTAAAAGCAGCCCACACTGTAACCCCTGCAGAAACCCATAGCGAAGCCCTAAGAGAATTGAGATGACTCAGTTTCTGTCTAATTTGGATACTGGCCTGGGATCCCAGAGATGATGTGGGGGCTGGGCGATCCAGCCTTCCCCTTCCTGCTCTGCCATCATCTCTGGGGGTGACTCTGGGATTTCGGGGGGAGGGGACAGACCAATATACAGAGCCTTCAGGGAGATGTTTCTCTCCATTCCCTCCTCTTTTTTCGGCACGGTCTTACTCTGCAGCTATGGTTAGCTGCGTATTCCCAAAGGAACTCGAGCCATCCTCGGCCATCAGCTCTCTGGTGCTGGAATCACAGGCAAATCCCACCATTCCTGATGCCGCACTCTGGGCACTCACATGTCAGTCTTTATGGAATCTGTGAATTAAATTGAGCACAGCTTCCTGTCACCCCCAGTTCCTTCCAGGTGACTCTCGTTCTCAGCAAACACCTTGTCTTGGTGCCTGGGCACAGTCCTCTGGCCATTTTGAAAAAACACAATTTGAGATCTTTTCTGGGCTTCCCGGGCCTTCAGGCCCTGACTTTAGGGGTTTTAGTCTTCTTCATAGTTCATTAAGGCTCACTTCTAGATGTAAAAACAAAAAGAAAAAAAAGACTTACTTCTAGTTCTACCAACTGACAAGTGCCAATGGCTAATAATCACATTTGTCTTTAAGGTCATTTCAAGGATACAAATAGTATCCTTGCCCAGCTAGGAAAGTGGTTCTCAACCTGTGGGTCACAGCTCCTAGGCAAACCTCTACCTCTAAAAAAAGTTTACATTATAATTCATAACAGTAGCAAAACTACAGTTGTGAAGTAGCAACAAAAATAATTTTATGGTTGGGGTCACCACACATGGGGAACTGTATTAAAAGGATTCAAGCATTAAGAAGGTTGAGAACCACTGCTATAGACAGTGTCTGAGCTTTTAATATTGTTGAATTATTATTAAAATTAATTTAATTATTCAATTATAAGTATTAATTATTAAAAGTATCAGTTAGATTATTTTAATTTTTGTGTGTATAGGTGTCTAGGTGGTTTGTCTACATGTAAGACTGGGCATCACTTGTGTACAGTTCCCACAGAGGCTAGAGTAGGGCATTGGATCCCCTGGGTCTGGAATTACAAATGGAATTGAATCTGCGTCCTCTGTTAGAGCAGCCAATGATCTTAACCACTCACCAGTTACAGTCTTTTGATGCAAATTACAATGAACAAAGCACAGGGGTGGGGGGGGGGATGTAGCTCAGTAGCAGAGCAGTTAACCAGCCTGCACAAGGCCATGGGGTCAATCCCTCACACTGAAAACACATACACTCATCACATACAATCATGACACATACACACACACACACACACACACACACACTTATACAAACACATTCATGCACATATACTTTCAAACTGAGCCAGGCATTGTGGCGTTGTAAGTCTATAACCTCAGCATTTAAAAGGTGGAGGCAGGAGGATCACTGTGATTTCAAGGCCAACACAGGCTACTAGAAAAGAAGGAAGGCAGGGCGGTGGTGGCACACGCCTTTAATCCCAGCACTTGGGAGGCAGAGGCAGGCAGATCTCTGTGAGTTCGAGACCAGCCTGGTCTATAGTTCCAGGACAGGCTCCAAAACCACAGAGAAACCCTGTCTCGAAAAAACAAAACAAAACAAAAAAAAAAAAAAAAAAAAGGAAGGGAGCTGGATATGGTGGCACACACCTTTAATCCCAGCACTCAGGAGGCAGGGGCAGAGGATCTCTGTGAGTTCGAGGCTAGCCTAGTCTACAGAGCAAGTTCTGGGATGGCCTGGGCTACACAGAGAAAAACAGGCCATAAGTTGGCTGACTGTCGTCAAAACATATTTGCAGCTTGCTTTCCTTATAAACTTGAAGCTGAGGGGGCCACTTCACACCGTGACAACCAAAACTGGCCTTTTGGTGCTTTTGTCACCTCTCCCTATGGCCTGATTTCTTAGATGGTCAAATAATTTAGCTTTGGCACAATGGTCTGGAGCTTCACAATGCCACTTTGGTTTGGTCTGGTAAGCATAGTGCAGAGCCTGAACCAGCAGTCTCAAGGAGTTTATTAACATTGTTCCATACTTATTAATGTGTGTATGAACACAAAAGCATGCCGCGGCCCACATGTGGAGGTCAGAGGAGCTGATTCTCTCCTTCCACCATGTGGGCCCTGGGAATCAAACTCAGGTCATCGGGGCCCTTTACCCGCTGAGCCGTCTAAAGGTAGAGGTTTTTATTAGATGCTATAAAGAATTTGTTGACTCGTAAAACAAGATGCTCTTAAAGAGAACAGGCTAGCCTGGATTCAAAAGTCAGAAGGCGACACTCGAGATCCAGTGTTTCTCTGGCTTATCTGTCTCCTAGTCTCCACCGTTCCACAGGTCTGAGGGGCCCCCACGGCTCCAGACGCAGCGCTGTGGTATAGCTCAAGGGCCTCAGGTTCCAGTTGCAGGCTGCAGAGGAAGAAGGCTTGGGCTCTTTCCCCAGCAGCCCCAGTGAGCTTTGTCACAACTTACTGAGTTTCTTTAGGTGACAGCCCCAATTCCTGAGCCGAGCCCGTGTCCAGTGGTGGACCTGGGAGTGAGAAATGGGGAAATGTTTTGAATTCAAAATGCACCATAGTTTGGGCAGGAGACAACAGGGAACTGGATATCAAACCTTCACAAACCTGCTGCTGAGCAAATAATGATAATAATGATAAGAGAAAATGTACGTGTTTAATACAAATGCAGTTCTTCCCCAGATAGATAGCAGTCTCTGAGTTTGGAGGCTTGGCTGTACTTCAGTTAGCGAATCAGTGGCTTGAATTAAGCTAGGCAAGTATGCTGCGGCTCAGCCACATCCCTAGTCCTAATCGTTTCCACCTCTCCACACTAATGCTTTTAAGACAGGTTCTCACTAAATTGCCTAGGCTGGTCTTGAACTTATTCTTTGATACAGGCAGTCCTTGAACTTGTCTCAGCCTCTCAAGTACCTGGAATTACAGTCCTGGGCCATGCATGTCTGGGGTCTGCAGAGGAGAGAAGATGGCATTGAATCCCCTGGAACCGGAGCTGCCTATAGTTGTGGATGCTGGGAACTGAAACCCTTTCTTCTGCAAAAACATCAACTACTCTTAATCAGTGAACCGTCTTTCCAGTGCCCTACTTGCATGTTTTGTTGGGTTTGTTTTGTTTTTGCAGCTGAACACATCCTAGCTGGGTATGATTCCTTACAAAAGCAAGACCTTAAATGAGGTAATATGCATAAAGTACTTAATCAGCTCTAACAGGTATTTGTTATTATGGTTTTTGTTTGTTTTATTTTGGTTTTTTGAGACAGGATTTCTATGTCGCTTTGGAGCCTGTCCTGGAACTAGCTCTGTAGACCAGGCTGGCCTTGAACTCACAGAGATCCGCCTGCCTCTGCCTCTGAAATGCTGGGATTAAAGGGGTGCACCACCACCGCCCGGCCTGTATTATATTTATTATCACTTTCACTAGCCTTGTTTACTTAGGAGCTCCTCAAGGGCTTCAGTGGTCTTCCCCATGTTCTAGAATGTTGGTTAGATCATGCTGCCCTAAAGTGCCCCTACTACATAAAATGGTGAGTCTTCAGACTGCACCTTCACAATGAGCTTTTTCTTTCATTCTGAGAATGGAGGGCAAATCCGCACCGCGGTGGATACGTAACAGCATCATTAGTCAGCACTCACAAGGCTTTGAACGTATTCCTAAAAGTAGAATGGGTACCGCCCGAGTAAACTGGGACTGTAGGAGCTCACGGAAGTACAAAAACCATCTCAGGAAAACCAGGCTGAAGAACCAATTTGACTTAGCAGGCTGGGGGAAGGAACAACTGTACCTCATAGAGAAGGGGCCACCTAGCGCTGGGTGCTGATGGCCCCATCTGACACCTGGTGTGTGTGTTAGGGGACTGACAGACAGAGAACTCTTGACTGTCCCAGAGGCTTCAGTTTGACTCAGTCTTCACTGCTGACATGGACTGTCAATCACCATCCATCTAGCCGTCTGTGGGTCCCTCTCTCTGGACCTGCTATCCACCCATCAGCCCATTTGTTTGCCGGGACCCAGTCCTGTCCTCCACCCCTAAAGACTTTATTTTGCTTCTACAGCTGAACTCTGTGGCTGGACAACAGCCTGACACACAACACAGACTCTGTCTTGCATTTCTATCAGCTTCCCAGCTTCTAAAATTTGAAATGCCTTGAGTCGTACTGTGGCCTATCTAACCCTTTGTGGCCATTCGATAACCTACACACGTACATATAGACAGCTATATAGAGTTACTTACTGTGTATGTATAAGATAGCTAAGAGTTAATATTAGTAATTAGGAATGGAATAAAACATCATGTGTTTTCTTTGCTCACTAAGAAAGAGGTACTACCAGGCAAATTGCTGCCAACAAGACCTTTGTGCTTTGTGGATTTGTTATTATCGAATTCTGACATTATGGGAAGGCACAATCAGTTTCTGACATAGGATGCCCGTGACAGTTGTAGATATAATAAACGGAATGAACTAACCTCAAATGTGAAGATGACCCCTTCACAAGAGTCAATGGCCATCAGCTGAATTCTATTTTGTTTTAGTTTGAGACATGTTTTCTTGGCACCAAAACTGTCCTCAAACTCAATATGTAGCCGGGGTTGACATCGTGGACCTGACCCTGCAGCCTCTGTCTCCCAGGCACTGAGACAGCCAGCGCCATGCTTGGCTCATACCTGAGTTTAGGAAGGCGGCCTCCTAAGTGTGGGAATCACACGTATGACCTATCTCGACTGGCCCTGTCTGTTGAATTTTTAAGTTCAAGACATTTTCAAATTCACAAGTTCCAGAAAAGAATATTTCCTGTATTGTACAAACATGTAAATAAAGCAAAGGTGACTTGGCAGGGCAATTTGTTCCTGTGCATCTTTCCAAAGTGAAAAAGCACGCACACCGGGGCAGAAAGTTCACTTAGTTTTTATTCTAACGTGGCGGTGAGCATCTCGTCTCATTGGTGAGGGCTGGGCCTCACAATCTGACACAATTGGTTAATTCATAATCTGTGCAAAGCATTAGGGTGTGATAGCGTCAGGCCTCAGGAATGTTCAGAGTTTGGGCAAACAGGCATGTAAACAAAAGTTTCACAAGACTCATGAAACACTGATCAAAAGGGTGTGCTTGGCAAGAGACAAACCAAGACAGGAAGTGCCTTTGGTTTTTATTACAATTCATGTGCTGGTTCTGTTTTTCCCCATTGGCTGGGGTCTGACCTCACTCACAATCTTAGCTGGCTAGTCTGAAAATATTTAGTGCATGGGAAATAAAGGAGGAAGGGGAAGAGGTTACTGCTCCCAAGGGAAAAGGGGGGTCGCTAGTCCATCAAATCCCTAGAATACAACACTGGGCCCTGGTGTAAACAAAGGTTTTACTGAGTCGGGGAATTAAAAGTTTTACAAGGTGAGGGAGACAAAAAGATTCTAAGCCCTTGTCCTAAACACAAAGTTTTATAGTATTTGATAGAAAAGACTCACATTTGATACTTCTCACACCTTCTCGAGTTCTCTCTGAGGTCCTCACGTGAGGTTTAGGTTTAGGTTTAAATAGAAGATGAGAAGCATACGTAACTAAACAGTGCTGGTTAAAGTGTGGTCCCTCCCATCATCATCGTCTAGGCTAGAGTCTCTCCTGCGAGTTGTCAGGACTATGAAAATCAGAACTGTGTGAAATGGCTTTTCAAGAGGCAGGCTTGCTTCTGACTAATAACAAGAGAAAAGTTTCTGTACCCCAATAAGCCTCTCCACCGACACAATAATCCGAATCAGACCAAATCAAACCGAATTAGAAAAAGCACAGGTTTAGTGGATACAAACACTCACAGATAACTTTATAGCCTGCCCCCAGACGAAACTGGAAAAGAAGACCAGACAACTGCGCCTTTGTTCTCTGGGGGGCAGTTTAAATACCCTGTGGGAGTGGTCTTGAGCATCTCTGGGGAGGGAGGATCACAATTTGGCAGGCTTTCTTGGGGGTGGAGTCTGGACTGAGGCAACTCCCAGGGGAGGGGGCTTGGGGTAGAACTTCCACCGGAACATTCCAGACTCTTTGGGTATATGGATGCCAGGGGCTGGGGTGAGGCCTTCACCCAAACATTCCAGACTCTTTGGATATATGGATGCCAAAGGCTGAGGGGGAAGTTTCCATCTGAACAGCAAGCTTTAGCCTTTCGTTTTCTCTCAGCATGAGATTCCTGATGAAAATTTAATTTCTTGGGTACTGTAGAACTTTAAGACAATTCTGAACCCATTTCTGACAATTCTGAGCCCTCTCAGTCTCAGCAGTAATGCTCCTCCCTTCCCCCCTAGGAACCAAGGACCTAACAGCTACATATGCACGTATGTTCTCCAGAAATTGGGGCAAGATAACCTTTAAGATGTTGACTCAGTTCCTGAACAATTACCCACACACGTATGTTTTGACTCAGTCCCTGGGAAATGGGGTCAAAGTGACCTCTTACCTCATCTGATCTGGCAACTACTCTCCAGCCAATTATTGGTAATAGCCCTTTTGAATAGGCCAATCATAATAGTCAAAGAACAACCCCAAGACATCCCCCTGCTTCTGTGGCTTTTTCCTTTAAAAGTAGCCTGTACCAGCTATTCGGGGTCTCTTGGCTTCCTGAATGCTGAGAGACCCTGTCATGACAGAATTAATAAAATCCTCCTGCTTTTACATCAGCTGTCGTGTGAGAGATGGTCTCTTGGGGCGACTCCTCCTCAGTGATTGGACTCTAGGGTCCAAAAGTACTATTGTTTCAATAGCCTAATAACTAAGCAGAGGGGCATAGTGCCTCTCTAGACTATCTTAAGTCATACCAGGCTGTTTACAAAAAAAGATTGCTTCAACTTAGCTACAGTGGGAAGAGAAATGGGTTAAAGGGGTCTGGTTGTTCAGTATCTAGTTAGATATTCAATCCTGGAGGGCACCGCAGAGGGACCCTGTGATTGCTAAAATTATGTTTTAAGTTTAAATTACCATGCTTAAGAGATTTATAAAATAAACCTCCTCTAACCTGTAAGTCCACTTGCCTAAGGACAGATGACTTCCTGGAATGTTGGGGGCTGTTGTTCATGTAAGATTGCAAGCCATGAGATTTTGCTACTGTAAACAAGCTCGGTTGCACCAGCTGCACAGGATGTACTTGATCTCATGTAGGCGGGCGGTCCATAGGCAGGAAGTACATCAGGATATGTATGTGCTTGCCCCTAATTGGATGAAGACAGGAAGTACATAGCCTTGTGAGTTTTGCCTTTATAAGCCCCTAGCTAGTGTAATTCAGTCCCATGACCCTAGAAATCCCAGGTACGGACCTAGCCATTGTCAGCTGCCCTGGCCAGTATTCAATAAAGCTTGCTTCAGATTTGGTTCAATACTTGTGGCAGTGATCTTATTCTCGCCCAGTTGGATTAACATTTTCTGGATGCCCCCAGTGAGGGCAGGCCACCCACCCAAACTCTAAAGCTGGAACTTCTGCCTAGGACTCTGGGGCTGAAGGACTGCTTCAGGAGGTACACACCTTGAGACATTC